TCATTTATAAATTTTTCTAATTGATATGTCCATAGATAGTCAATTTATGGTGTTCTAATCGAACAAGCAAGATGATGATCGATTATAAATATAAAGCTTTTGACAGGAATTTTGAAAATTCTGAGCTCTTTCATGCATTATTTTTATTTATTTTTTATAAATTATAAATACCAAATGACTAGTTAAATATGTTACTAAGCGTTAATAATGAAACTAGTGCGTATCGTCTTTACTTTTTCATTATTTTAATCTTAAGCTAGCATTTCAACATTTCGGTTACCGATTACATCCATTAATAATAATAATAATCATTTATTTGCGAATACAATTAAATACAACTAGTCGGAACTGTATGCAAAAGGATTTTAATAGTTAATATCGATATACAAATATACAGTAGAATTTTTTTTCTCATCATGTAACGAGGGCCGGATTAGTTTCGGGTAGACATGGGACAAAATCAGTGAACTGTGAATTAACTGTGATTTATAATTCGATATTTTGTTTCGTTTCAAGACCCTATTTCGCCTATTAAACAGTAAATCTAGTAATTATTTTATTATATATAGCTACCATTCCCTACATAATAATAAAAAAAGATACTAGTTTTACTATTAAATCGCGTCTGAAAACAACTTATTGGCAACAACGCGGGAGTAAGTAGCAACCTGTACGTAGGGGAATGTACGAAAAATTCGAATGACAAATTACAGTTCACTGGGATTTCGTCCCATGTCTTGCATCGCGGCCCTTAGGCACTGCAATAATCAGGGCCCCTTTTTATCCGTTTAAAGATTAGCTCTTTATTGTTGATAAATACAATAAAAAACAATAAACGAAAGAAAATACTTGATAACTTATTATAAACAGGATATTTTCCATGTTTATTTTCGGACAGTTGCCGATATTTCTACACTGTTGCAAGCGTCATGATAATGGATGAACTTCTTACGTTCATGTGAAATTTGTAACTGTAAGTTACTCATTTTGTTGCCTAATAAGAAAATCGTTTATTTTGAAAAATTCTAGATGTACAATATTATTATAGCTACACACAATAAATAATATATACAACGTGTCCCAAAATTCAACGATAAGCCGGTACCGGTGTATGGTCGGGTCAATAACCACCCATGGAAAAATAATAAAAAAAAAAACCAGCTCTTTTTTTTCAAAGTTACATTAACTTTTTTGAAAAATGTTGTAATTTGATACCCTACACCCTATGATTAGATACTGTGGTTACAAATGTGAACATATCCCCACATTTTTTTTTGTATTAGCTACATAAGCAACATAACTATTAATTGCAGTTCCAAATAGGACCTATACATTCGTAGTTTTTAATATAAAAATAAAATAAACAATCTTTTTTCTTGAAATTTTTGAATATTTAAACTTTTAATCAACTTTGACATGCTACTGTGTAAAAAAAATGTATGAAATGTACTATGGCATGTTATTACAAAAGTTAGCGCAACTCATCACAATTCTAAAATGGTGCAATACTATGACAACACTTGTAAAAATTCTAAGAATTCTCTTATCAAGACACAAAGAGGATTATTCAGTTTAGTTTTTAAAAACATTACCTACTGTTCAAAAAAGGGTTTTAAGACTGTTTCAATGAAAGTCATAATGAGAAATTAAGATATTTATTGCGTACTTAAATTAAATGTTCCAATTGTTGACCATCTGCGTCAACACACGCGTGACAACGCCTTAAAAATGATCTTTTAATGAGTCTCGCATATCCCCGTCTGTTCATATCTTCTGCAGCCTCCAAGATTCTTTGACGCAGTTCGTCAATTGTTGCAATTGGTTTGGCATAGACTTTGTCTTTTAGGCAACCCCAGTAAAAAAAATCCAGTGGATTTAAATCCGGAGAACGGGGCGGCCATGCAATGGGACCTAGACGACCGATCCATCGATCTGCATATTCTAGGTCCAAATAATTTCTCACTGGACGTGCGTAGTGAGCTGGGCAACCATCGTTTTGGTACCACATATCTCTTAGTACGTTTAAAGGTACATCCTCTAGGAGATTAGGCAAAGTATTTTGCAGAAAATTTAAATAAGTTTCGCCATTTAAAATTGCTGGCAATTCAAATGGACCGATAATCTGACCATTTAATATGCCCGTCCACAAATTGATCTTGAACTGATACTGCGACTTGTCTTCTCGCATTAAGTGCGGGTTCTCCACGCTCCAACTGTGTAAATTGTGAAGATTTAAGTAACCATCTTTTTTACAGGTTGTTTCGTCTGACCATAAAATCCTATCTAAGAATTCTTGATCCTCGGCATTCTTCCTAATCATCAAACGGCAAAACTCTTTTCGAGCAGGATAGTCCCGGGGTAACAAATTTTGCACACGTCTTACGTGGTACGCATGAAATCTTTCACGTTTCAGAATACGCTGGGTGGTACGTTTTGGGATTCCCGTAGATTCCTCTATGGCACGGACTGAAGTATTAGGGTCATTTTCAATCTCTTCCAGTACTTCTTCTTCGCGATTTGACCTAGGTCTGCCTGCATTTCTTCGGTTGCTTGGTAAATGACCTTCACAAAATGTCATTGATGACGGTTTTCTACCTGAATCTGCCACCCAAAACCCTTTTTTGAACAGTAGGTAATGTTTTCAAAAACTAAACTGAATAATCTTCTTTGTGTCTTGATAAGAGAATTCTTAGAATTTTTACAAGTGTTGTCATAGTATTGCACCATTTTAGAATTGTGATGAGTTGCGCTAACTTTTGTAATAACATGCCATAGTACATTTCATACATTTTTTTTACACAGTAGCATGTCAAAGTTGATTAAAAGTTTAAATATTCAAAAATTTCAAGAAAAAAGATTGTTTATTTTATTTTTATATTAAAAACTACGACTGTATAGGTCCTATTTGGAACTGCAATTAATAGTTATGTTACCTAGGTAGCTAATACAAAAAAAATGTGGGGATATGTTCACATTTGTAACCACAGTATCTAATCATAGGGTGTAGGGTATCAAATTACAACATTTTTCAAAAAAGTTAATGTAACTTTGAAAAAAAAAGAGCTGGTTTTTTTTTTATTATTTTTCCATGGGTGGTTATTGACCCGACCATACACCGGTACCGGCTTATCGTTGAATTTTGGGACACGTTGTATGTTTTTCTTTTATAGTTGGTCTCATGCTACTGTTACGTAGGTCACTATTTAAATTTTGAGACACGCAAAAAGTACGCAATACAAGTATACTTGTAATTTATATCTTTTCAAAATACTCTCCATCTCTCTCAACAGAAATTTCCACCCGCCTAAACCAGTCTTGAAAACACTTTTTCCAGTCTTCCTCCGACATGTCAAAAATGGCTGATTCATAGGCAGCCACCACTTCTTCAGCACTTGAAAAAACTTGCCTTTTATCTTATCTTTTATGGTGGAAAATTAAAAGAAGTCACAAGGAGCTAAGTTGGGCTGCAAGGTGGATGAGGTAGGGTTTTAATATTCGATTCTTAAATAAACGCCTTTATTCTGAGGGAAGAGTGTGCAGCAGTATATGGTGCAGCATCATTCCCCGAAGCCCAGTCTTTGGTCACAGCTTTGAAACCTTTGGCAAAGCAACTGTAGTGAACCATTCTGAGTTAACAGACTTACAATTCTCTAGCACTGATGTTGTAAGATGTCCACTTCTTTAAAAAAATATTGTTGGCAACTGGCCATCTGGAAACACCCATACCGAGCAACTCTTCTTGCTATTGCCGGATCATATTGATATATCCATGTTTCGTCGCCAGTAATCCACTTTTAAAATGTGGACTCATCTCACGACACCATTCCACAAGGGCTTCTTTTTCCGTTTCGAAGAGCAAACGAGGTATCCAACGACAACAAAGCTTCCTCATTTTAAGATGTTCATATAATATTGTGTGAACACTAACCGAACTGATGCCTAACATTTTCTCTATGTCCCTGTATGTAATTCGTGGGTCATCTCGCACAAGCATTTCAGTAGTCAACACATTTTCAGCAGTATTGTCAGTACTGTCATCATCTTCAAGGCTGGTTTCTCCCCTTTTCAATTCGTTCAACCATCTAATGGTTGCCCGAGGAGCAGACTTACCTAACGCTGATAAACGTCCTTTTAAACGATCTTTTAAACTAAGCAACGTATTTTAATGCGGTTTTCACCAATAGAGTGATTCAAAAGGAAGGTTTATATGTATGTATAATACATGCATATTATAGTAGAGAAAAGCCGAGAATTTCCAAGATTTGACATAAAAAATGATTTTATTTTGCTTACATTGCAAACGCTTTCTAAACCTTACGAGATAGACCAAAATAATGAAAATATATTTTAAAAAAAGCCTACAAAAAAGCAAAAAAAAGCTCTCGGGGGCAAAGCGGCTCTCGCGTCGCCGTCGGGCCATACATTCGTTCCGGGTGAGCAGGAACGGAGCGGCCCTATACAAGTATAATATACGAGTAAAGATGTCCTGTAGTAGTCTGTATCAACATCTACCAAAGAGCGAAAGGAACCTCGTGCCCCCCCCCCCCCCCCCTCACGGTCGGTCCATAGACCCCTCACGCCGTTTTATTCCATGTCTGGGTGTATTTTTTCTATAATATTATGTACCTATTTGGGATCAGACGGCCGTATGTTACATGTGTGAGGTTATTAATCAGTTATTTTCTAAGACGTCTCACAAATTTTAACTCATATTCGTAAGTCGTTTAAGTCTACTTAGCTAGTAGATTTAGGGGAGAGGTTACTACTTCTAGCTGATTTTGAGCTGTTTGCCTTCCAATAAATCTCCAGAATGGTTCCTCGGTTACGTTTATAGTAGATTTCTTTTCTAAGTATTCATCGACTTGATACAACGCTTGATACGTCCTTCTGCCAGCTCTTCTGATGAATTATTACCTTCCAAGTTTAAAAAGTTGTTTACGTGACAACTTTTTTGTATTTTATTACAAACTAATTATTTGTTTTCTCATAATCTATTCCAGATATTATGGACAGCACTGTCGTTAGCATTGGGCTACGAACTCCAAGGACAAATCATCAGAGGGGTTCCATGCGTGAAAAGAAACTTCCAATTATATTGTCCAACTGCTGGCAATACATATCCTTTGTGAGTAGTATACTTAGTTTAACTTGGATCTAGATTTTATTTTAAGATTTTATATGGCTTTTAAGGCCCTAGTTATCAATGGTAAACTTTTTGTTTTTTAGAGATAAAATTGAAAACTTCATCGATGAGAACAAAGCGTTAATAAAGCGTATGTATGGTTCCTTCACTACGCCAGCAGGGAATCGAGTGCGTAGAGCTCCAGGAGTACCTGACATGCACGATGCAACAGGCGACTCGTACTTTAGACATGTGAGGCAAGCTTCTAACACAAAGCTGCCGGACCCGCAGTCGGTTAACAATACTGGCAGGTTGGTTCCTTGCAATTGATCTAACACACATCTACCATCTATTTATTTTTTGGTTAAGACTGTGTGTCATATGGCTTACCTATATTATATACTAGCTCACCCTGCAAACGTTGTTTTGCTATTTACATTATTTAAATTATTATTTTTGAATTTCTTAAAATCCGTTCTTAGCTGACCTCTACTCGGTGAACATAATATTCCTACCAAATTTCAAGTCTTTAGCTCTAATAGTTCCAGAGATATCGTGATGAGTGACTATATACGTGGAAATCTCATATGATGTACCTAATATAAGTCTTTATTTCCTCACATAGGACCAATCCTCAAACTGTTACGGACAGTTACTGTATGAAAAATGCACTGTGAAAGAGTAATAGGTCGCATATTTAACATTTAGACCGTAAATAAAATAGGATGATAGAAAAATACGAATTTTTATTCTTTATTTTTATATATCATCATATATAAGGATAATTAGAGAAAATATATTTGAATATTATTTAACAAAGACAACAATTAAGTATGTATTAATTTGCAGGGTAGACGCTTGCGAAAGCAAGACCGAAATAATGACGCCGTACTGGGCTCTGAACTCAGCGCGAAAGCTGCGCGCAATCGTCAACACTATGCATTTTGAACAGGCGATACACCAAGAAACCTGCAGGTAAACTGCATTCAAATGAACACTAATTTACAACTTTCACACAAATTGCGGAATCTTTTTAACAGGAAAGCACGTGTTCGGTCAACCATGTCATAACAGGTATTGTTCAAAAATTAAACTGTTTGTTACTAAATATGTTCATTTGTAATTTATTTATGAATAATAAATAAAGCAAACAAATAAATAATGAATTTGAATTATGAATATCAATTATGAATATGAATTATGAATATCAATTATGAATATCAATTATGAATATGAATATGAAATATTCATAATAATTAAGTATGATGAGCTGAATTAACGCAATCACGCACTTAATACGTACCACTTACCTTTGATTTACCTGACGTTTCGACCCGGTTGCACTGCCACCGGGATCAGGCTGACCATGATTGTCTATTCAATATTTATCACGTTAATCTATATAGGTATGTAATAATGTTGTTGGTTTGTGTACGCTTAAAAAAGTCAAAAAAATATACAAACCGCTTCAAAGATGTTGTTATTATCTATTTTTCACATCAGTTTTGTTCCTCATTTATCATTAATGCAAACCACAACGTGCCATAGAGAAGTGTGGTAACTAGTTCTAATTATAAATGAATAAAGCAAAAATTTAAAATCTATTAAAGAATAATAACATTGTGATGATGAATACGTGAGTGTGCACATATTTTGCTATCTAGAACCGATTTAGTAAATATTTTGCTCTCGCCTTCTCCCACCATGTTCTTTCGGAAAGAGTCTAGAGAGCATTTACGTGAAAAACAGTATTATTTAATTTTTATTGGCTGAATCTGTTACATTGTTATTGCAGATTACCATCTGTACTTATACTATAATTATGGTCGCTTCAAACAATCTAAAGATATGACTTTTACCCAATGGTATGAACATCAAAACCATTTTTCTACTTTCAGTAAAAAGACTACATCCCGATGTTCACGCGACTGCGGATGTGAACAAAAATACAAATGGCATCGACTTCTGGCGTACGACCCCAACGACGACTGTGCAGGAATATTCATGGACTGGTTCTTGTTCCCTTCATGTTGTGTTTGTAGATGTAATCCATAAAATTATGTATATTTTGAACAAAACAATAAATCATCAACAACGACAGATCCTACTACAAAGGTGATAATAAAATAAGTAGACGCGATAATTGAACATTCAATTGTTTATACATATAAGTGTAACACGTGTAGGTAACTGGCTTAAAAGAAGCAAATGTTTTCTACTCTAGATGTGTAAATCGGGACTTTAGCGCGGTAATGATTACAAGGTACTCAATACCATCTTAATTATTTATGTATATTAACTGTTTATAGAAAAACACCTGGGCCCATTAATAAAAATGTTTTTTTTTTGTTTATAAGAGAATACTTTCTAGTACGAGTAAATCCCTTTGTATTAATTTTATAATAATATTTTAGAAATCGAGGGCAGTCTTCAAATATTGAATTTGAGCATTTTTTTTACAATAACTTATGCATTACGTATTGCATGATTATGTTCCTATGTATGGTCTAATTTCGGTGTCTTTCTATAAGTGGACGGGTTTATCAATACCGGGAGTCTTAATTGCTAAAGGACAATGCACTTAATTGCTAATTAAGTGCGTTTTATAAGGGTTGCCAATCCACAATAAATAGGTATATGTAATCAGTTATATATCCACAAATTTCATTTTTTTCATGTTTTGCGGAATTTTGGAAAACTTAAATTCTGCTCGTTACCTTGAAACTCAATTGTCTAAAACAATAATTAGGCACTTTGAAATGTAAGCTGACTGTATGTTCCTGGACGAAGAGTACCCACTCCCTTACTTGTACCCTGTTTAGGTACATAATCATCACAGACATGATATAAGTTACACTTTTTATTGATACTCGGCTCCTATTGGTCGTAGCCTGATGTTATATAGCCTACATAATTCCTCGATAAAGGGCTATTCAACACTAAAATAATTTTTCAATTCGAACCAACTGTTCACGCGTGATGCGTTTGACTAAGGGAAATAGGGATTCATTTTATTTTATATATAGATACAGTCTTTCAGAACGGATGTTATTTCCCTTTAGGCGTACTCTCTAACATACACGGTAAACCGTGTATGTTAGAGAGTTGAATAATGACTTATCGGCGCGAGAACCTTAATTGTGTGATGTAATATTAGTAGTTACTCCCTAGTTCGTCTTCGTTAGATGGCATCGAAGTGTGTTATTCGTTGTATATAGAAATCGCCACACAAGTGTGTACTTACACAAAAATAGCCATGTCGGTAAGTAAATGTATGATTTATTTCCAGACTCAGATGGCGTCTAGAAATGAATAACAAAACGCACTTAACGATTTATTTCGTACACACAGTGAAGAACAAAAAGATAACTTCTAAAGCGTGATTGGTTCTTCATTCATTGAAATAACAAAATTTATGTCCCGGTTTTTCACAATCTATTAGAGTATATTATCCTGTGTTTTATTTAGTCGATGAAAGTATTTAATAAGCCTTTATATGCCCTTCACTTCACCTAATAATTTTTAAGTTTTCCCCACAATGTGATTTTTTGCATTGGAAAATCTGTGTGTCTCTGTTCGATGTTATTTCTTTTTTTATATTAATGTACTTACTGTTTGCCTATTATCATTAAGAATATGTATTATGTAAACTAGTTGATCTATCTATCGCTTGACTGTAGATCTCTTCAAATGTTTTTCAATTAATTCAAATCTGACACTGCCATTGTATAGTTACATGTTCCATATATTTATAAGACATAGATTAGTTACTACAACTACCGTCTTTATCATTAATAATTTTAGTATCGAAATTCATATCTTGATTATTGCATTGTTTAGACTTAAGTAATAAATAGTTTGTAGCACATCACTAATGTTACGTTAATTTAGCTGTTAACCTACTGGTATTTATATCTGTAAGTGTGAAATATAAACAATTGTCCAGCAAAGCGTAGCTATAGTAAAAACTGCATATATATTGTTGGAAAGCAGCCTGTATTACTTATATATTTGTAAAAAGAATACTTTTAATAAAAATGAAAGATTGAACGCAACGCCTATATTACTTTTAAATGGCATAAATAATAAAAGTATAATAAAATGAATGTATAATAAATTGGTTTAGGTCGAATAATAACGTATAATTAAATTTATAAAAATTAGAAGTTATGACTAATCGTTAATGTTCCCAGGACTCCTGAGAACGTCAACGATACATATTTATCACAAATAACAAACATTTTTATACTTTTACGATAATCACGTACTATCTGACTCTAAACAACTGACTGTGAAGTCTAATTCTGCCGTCTGACTAGACCTGAAACCTTAGTGTGAAATTAACGTTAACATTTTAATAATAACTTCAAGTTAACTTCAAAAATTATATATTTTCTAATCATAAATTAACAAAAGGCTAACAAAGTTTTATATATACATACATATCACGATTCTACTTATGAATAGTCAGGTGAATCATTCGCTTTTGTTATTTTTCTTTTTCAATTCCTCAAATTCTTTAAACACTTTCTCGCTTAGTTTTTCACCGTCGTCATCGATTTGTTCGACCGCTACTACCTCTGGGATGTAGAACTGCATCATATTTTGAACCTAAAATAAATTATGTTTTACTATTGTAACCAACTTTCTTGCATAGAAATAGATATAGGTACTACTTGCGAACTCTTCAATCTTTTTTGGGCACTTAAAACGAACAGATAGCAATTGAAACATGTTCTACCTACTTTATACTAGAAACTGCAGAAGCAAGAAATTCTGAATAATTCAATAAGTACTGTTTAAACTTAAAGCTGTGTGTCAGTATCTATTTTTATAAGAACCTAACTAACTTTTATCTGATATAGCGAAAATAATACTACAAGCTAAGCCGGGCAGGCTACTCTTCGCTTCTTGTTTGTTATTTTTTTACAATTCTAAACTTATTTTTGAAAATTTAATAGACTTTTCACGTTTATAATGCTAATAAGGTATCGGAAAAATGAAAAATATAAGTAGCTATATCTAAAAGCGAAGGGATACTCTCCAAGTACTAAATAATCACGTAATTACATATATTTCACCTATTAAGGATATTACGAGATTACCAGTTGAAGGATTCACGCAAGTTTTTAATCTTTGGTTTTTGTACTAAAAACCTTATATTTTGAAGTACCGGATTAAAGGAGTCCAAAGACTATTTAGATGAAACTCCGTAGTTTTAGAAAATGGCAAAATAAGGTTTAAAATGTAAAATAAATTAATAGGATTAATAGGACTGGTTTAGGCTCCTTATCACAAGGATGGCTCAAAGTAGTGAAAATGTTTTATTTATGAAATTAAATATACACATTGGCAGAAGTAGAGAAAAGAAAATAGGATAACTCTTGAAGAGAAAAACAATAAGTTTAAAACTAACTTTACCAATAACACGATAATGCAAGAGATTCCGCGGTCTAAAGCTTCCACTAAAATTATGCATTTGATGTATTTAATATATTTACGCATCTTTGGCCCCCACTATACAAAAGAAAGTAAATATAAAAAGTTATATTAAATGAAAATATACAAACCCCATTCTTCAAGGTGACTATAGAACTAGGACACGAGGAACAGGAACCTTGCATTTTAAGCCTGAGTATACCATCCTTGAAGTCTACGAACAGAACATCACCACCGTCTTCCTGGACTGTAGGTCTGATACGTGTATCCAGCAGTTCCTTTATCATCTGGACTATTTCATCGTCGTCCTCGTTTGCTTCTGTATAATGGAATAAGTGGGTAAATTAACAACTTGGATATAGATAGATCTAAAAAGCCAACCAGCTCTAAAGACTATTGGTGATATCATTTTGAAGCATTGCTACAACACAACTTTACTGTCCATCCACATTTGTGTATAGTTTCCGATCATTATTACCTGTATTAGATATATCACTCCCATTTACTATTAAAATGCAACCAATATTTTAAAAGCACATAGTCTGCCTGATGGAAAACTCATGTCTGCGTGGTATAGTAGGCCAAAACCTCCTTTCTAAGGGCAGTGAACTATTATAGGCTGCTGATGTAATGAACTCCTGTCTGTGAATGTTTCTCTTATATTGCTCCTGTGGGTATATCCCGTATTATAGATGGACTGTTATCTATCTCTTCACAGATGAAGCTCTGAAGTTAGGTGCTTAAGATTAAAGCAAAAACCATCTTAGTTAAGTCCAGTCTTGAATGTCCAGGTATAGGAAACAAAACTGTCACTAGTAGTGTTTGTGTGGATAGTGGCAGTCAGCTATAGCCAGACAACCAGACAAATGTTTGTAGTCAAAAATTTTGAGTAGTAATTACAAATACGGCAAGGACAAGATAACTATGTGCGATAAGTTATGCAATATGTATGCTACAACTAATACTGATGTCTATGCTGATGAGTTAACCATGAGAGAGGCGCATGCATGGCCAGTTTCGAATGGAGTGATACCACAGCCTCACAGAAAACCGGTGTGAGTTAGGTTCCCGGAGCAAAAAGATTTTACTGTCCGTGTTGTGACGGATTAATAATACAGAGTGTAACCACTCCTAGTCATCTTGTGGATGTCGTACGAGCCGACTCAGGACAGCAGCGCAGGACAACAACACTGCAAAGAGAAGGCAAACTTGAAACAAACCCTTTACAAAACCCGTCTGGCTGCGTGCTATAGTAGTCCAAAACCTCATTGCTAAGAAGAAGCCTATGTCTAGTAGTAGACCACTTAAGTCTGTCGATGATGATGATGATGAGAGATTATACTTACGAGTATCACTAGAAGGTTTAGCATCAATGACAATAGGTAATCCACTAGCAAAAAAGTCCATGATAGTAGCAAAAATGTCAGGTTTTAGAAGCCTCCAGTCAGTGTCATCATCCTTTTTAGTAACTGTTATAAAATCACCTCCAAAGAAAACTGCCTTTACACCATCTATACGAAATATCATTTTCGCTGAAAGGTATAAAATTAAAGTTGGTTGTTTCCAGGTCTAACTTCCATAATAATAATAACTTAAGATTGAAATAATTTGATGAGAAATACATATTGTTTAAAGCATGAGTTCCCTAAGTATGAGTTCCGACCCACTGGTGTGTCGCGAGCGAATATTGTGTGGGCCCTGAAACATAAGATAACCCGACCAATCGTGCTCACAGCCGTACGTTGGACGCCTTTTGTTTTTGTGACATTCTTTATCGCGTTGCATTGTGTTCGTTAGTGTGCGCCCTTATAATATTATAATCAACGCATATTAAAATCAATTTTATATACGCATATTAAAATCAATTTTTAACAGTCAAAGTTTGAAGATAATAATGGAAAAATTGTTGAAACGAATAGCAAAAACTACGTGTCCGCCGCCGGTTGATTGTGAATAAAGTGATGAAAAAACAGCTTTTGTTAGGTGGGTCAGAGCCCAATCAAGTTTGGGAACCACTAGTCTAAAGTAGCTCTTTTAGAAGTATCATAAGTTATTAAAAATCGAATAATAAATATAATTCATCAAAACTTTTGCTTAGTTACTTGGCAAAAAAATTATAGTTTTAAAAAACTAAAGAAAAAAAAAAGCGTGGGATGCTTTTTACTATTGACAACAGGCACCCAACGCTTTTTTTCAAATTTACTTTCTATTTTTTAGTTTAGTTTTCTATAGAAAGCGTGTTTTTTAGTTTTTTAAAACTATATATATATATTTTTAATTAGCGTATTGCCATCCGTCCTCGATATATCTACAAAGTTTTAACGAATTCTGACCATTTATAGTCAGCCAAAATCACGCCCAAAGGAGTCGGTTACAAACAGACAAACAAACATACAAGTGAAGCTAAAATAAAGCGTGCAAAAATTGGCCCAATAAGACATTTATGTTTAGGCATGTAAAAATCTAAAATTACAAATTATTACTATTTTTCTAAAATTTAAACATTACAATAAAACAATATGGTGACCATATTGTTTTATTGTAATGTTAGGACAAACTGGTGGCTCCTACATATGTACATACACATAAAACAAAATATAGTGTGTCATCTAACATTCTTAAGTATTTTTTATTTTTTTGCTGGATTCAACAATTTATTGACAATGAAGCATGATACTACAAAGTTATAAACAAAGGTTTAATTTTAGCAATAATATCATAGAATCTTCAGAGAAAATAAATATAAAATTAAAAATTTCGACTTAATTTGAAAACAAACAAGGACTAAATAAATAAATTAGTTCAAGGAAATGTATACATATATATTCAATTAAAATAAAATTGACAAAATACTCTATTATGACCATGTTTCCATAATTGAAAATGATAAGAAAAATTAGATATAGATTCTTATTTGGAGACACTTTTTAGACTTAGTCAATCAAAGTTCTATTCAAAGGTCGGACTAAATATTTGTATGATCAGCAAATATTTGTTTAGGAGTTTGGGTGTATTCTATGTATGATATGTATGTATTTAAAAAAAAAAGGAAATAAGTATTCTATCAATCAATCTAGTTTTCATAGTAGAAGCTCTGCTTAGTTTAAAACTAGATGGTGTTGTGTGTCAGTTGTCCAAAATATTATGATTTATTTATTATAATGATCATTGGATCAATTGGAGCGCAAGAGACAGAGACAGGATAATAGCAAGTACTTGTAGGAAATTCTTTCTGCTCCGCACCCATTATATTTTCAAACACCATTGTACTGACTCAGTCTTACAAATATTATAATAAAAACTTAACTCTGCAGTGGAAATATAAATGTCATACAACTATTGTAAACTTTAATGTTAAGACTAAAATTACATTTAAATCTTGGTCAACTAATAGTAGATAGACCAACCTTAAGTACTCAACAAATTTTTATTTACATACCTAAGGGACTGCACTGAGCAGCTCCAATATTAGGAAAATCCATTGTCTGACCCGGCTCCAAGACTTTTGTTCCAGGTAAAAACTTTAAGCTATTGGGATTGGGTGTATCCTGTGTTTGAATAAACATTGAGCGGCAGACACAAGTGTTGAAAACAGGAACATCCTTAAAGAGTGTATTCTGGGCCTCAGACTTTGCTAGTCCACTAAATTGTTTGATTGTATTCTTCCTGAAAAAAATTGAAGTAATTTGATACAGTCAAATAAAACTGTAAACTGTATATAATATACAGTTAGTCAGCAAACTAATATTAGTTATTGATAACATGAATGTTTTATTGTAGACTTACATACATCTTAAGAATAAATTGACATGTTAAATAACAAGTAGAGTTCATAATAACTATTTGATTTAGAATTTAAACATGATCTATGAATAACCAAAAGTAGTTTTTTTTTATATTAATACAATTTTACCTCGTCAAACTTGCAACGCAAAAACGCCCACATGTACTGCCTGCTCCACGAGTTCGTAAAACACCTCTTAACATCATTTTGTATGTTCTTAACGATCAAGTTTAGATTTAGCGAAATTATACTATTGCGAATATTGAGAATGAAAAATAAACAGGAAGACAAATATAACTGACAGCCGACAGCTGACAGCTACAGCATAAAGCGGAACCTGAATGGGGTGACACTGACAGTAAGTATTTATTTAAATAGTACGATAATGTACCTGTAGATGACCTCGTTACCTATCTTTTTCAACTCCATTTTAAAATTTTCTTACTTTCAAAAATAGGTGAAAAGGTATATAATTTCATGGCATGAAATGATAATAGTTGTTATTTTCAAGAGGTAATACAGGGACCTGGAGGAGAGAGCCCTTGTGGCTGTATATCAGAGGCGTAAGGTCGGAGGGTCGTAGTCTTGTGTCTCGAGAAATCGAGGATCAGAAATCCCAACTCCAGCAGATCCTCGTGGAAGAGTGGAACAATTTGGGCAACCGAGCGCTGTAAGACTCGTTATGGAGGATTGGCTCAAGAGGTATCACGTAACCTTTTCATACCGGCTGACTCAGTTGATCACCGGGAAAGGATGCTTCGGAGATCATCTGTGGCTGATCCGCAAGTATCACCACGATGACTGTAGAAGCGGCGCTTCACACGCTGGCAGAATGCCTCGCCTCGTGGCGGCCATCGGAGTGGGAATTCTCTCTTCTTATTATTCTGTTAGTACGGAGCGAAAAACCCTATTTTTCGCTAAGTCTGTTAAGAATAGAATGCTGTTATTTGACATAGGTACACAAAATACAATTTCATGATGGTGAACTTGTTAAAATAAAATCATAATTTATTTCAGGCATACAGGTGTAGAAGATTTTTTTCTACCTCGAGGAATCATCATAGAGATATAAGCATAGAAAGAAAACGGGGTACAGCTGCTGCCTGTAAATGGAAGCGATAAAGGCAACGAGAGAGATGAATGCCAGATAGTTCCTTTTATCTCTGTTTATCTAAGCTGATATTTGTTATCATGAAGTGGCTATAGTTTTGATCGTAAAACTGGTAGGAGATTAGAAATTTCCCAAGCCACAACAGTAACTACTACTTTATTTTACAACTACTATTCTGTTATTAGACTTAAAACTATTATCAGTGGCGGCCTTAGCTATTGCGAGGCCCCGGGCGGTTAGGACATTGCGAGGCCCCGGGTGGGCAACTTATTGCGAGGCCCTTGTTATTGTTAAATTAGTTTTAATAATGATACTTGAAACAAAAAAATGCAGAGCAACACACACTGCTGCTCGAATATAAAAGCATAAGGTGACGACAGCTGCCAGTGCTGCCACAGCCTGTCAATATTACAGGCGAAATTAAACATGGGAAATACCTGAACGTAAATCGTAAACTCCAGGATTCATAATGCGAGTCGCATTCGCACTCAAAATCTACTTGCACTTTGAAAATGTTTTCACGAATCCGCTGAATTAAAAGAAAAAAATATGCTTTTAGGTTTATATACATAAGGGATAATTAAAATAGGGATGAAACATTTTAATAAAAATCTAAAATAGTAATTACTTCTTTTTCAAATAAAAGGAAATTGGTTTAAAGAATTCTAGAGAGACTATGATCCATGAGCTCAAGTAGTGGCAACAATGGCAACATTACATTCTTTGACCGCGAATGAGCGAAAGGAGAAAGAGTGTAATCTTCTGACTCTGACATTGTTTATGCCAAGTTGAAGCGTGTTCGTTGTTTGGTGTTAAATTGTTGCCAAACAGGTAAAAAGAGGTATGTATGAAACTCAGCCTATTAATTAATTAATATCTATACTGCAAATTTACAGTGTAAGATAAGATTTTAATTAATATGTTTATGTAGTGTAATAATAAAATCTTTTCGTTGAAAACTCTTAGTAAGCACATTTGCGTAGTCTTTCTTTTAATCTTCCCCCTTTTAAAGGAAGAAAATATTCAAATGCTTGCTTGCCATTATTTTCGTCCATTAACTATATTTTCATTAAATAGTTGGTTACAACAGTGTCGTTTTTTTTTCATTATTTAATATATAACATTTTATAACAGCTTTTTGATTGAAAATTCCCCACTTAAAATATGAAACTTTTTAAATTGGATGTTAACTTGAGGCAGTTAGTACACTGTTTTTAGTAATATATTTCTATCATTATACATTTCAGTTTAAGTTATTGTACAGGGATAGTCTAGTTCTACCCACATAATATTTATTACTTCTATCAGTGTCAGACAACTTTTGTAGGTTCTTAACTATTGCATTGCCCAGTGACAATTATTCTTGCCATGATATCCATCAACATTGGCTAAAATCAAAGAAACTTGAGCTATTGAATGTTTACATAGTTTGTATGTTAATTCTTTGCCATTTTATATTTTCAAGGTATTATTTACACAACTACCTATTACAACAGTAGTTAGTAATATTAACTATTCTAATTATAACTATAAAATGTTTGCCAAATTCATTACATAGGTCGAACACTCTTGCATAAGGTGGATCGTTCTCTTGATGAGAATTTCTACATAAGGTGCAAATTCAGCATTATGCATATAATGATGACGACAAATGTAAACATAAGAGATGGCTGACAATACTTTATTTGAAAATTTATTTCCCATTAAAGTTTTTAAATGAGGTTGTTAGAGTTATTTGTATAATTCAGAAAATGTAAAAATATTGTTGATGTAAATGTTTTAAGGCCAATTCATTTATTGTGCAAAGTATTCTTATGGTGGGCTACTTTAATGTTTTGGTTTCTAACTAATTTATTTGATACATATAAAACTCTTGATACAGTTAACCTGTACTTATTTATCCTAACTTCAACTTAAGTCACACAACACTCCTGAGGGCCGAGTGCAAGTTCATTTCACATCGACTTGCTCTCGACGGCGAGTGCGTTTAGCATTGTGATTGGTGGAGATTTCAATGCGGGCCAATCGTAGCGCCGAACGCGGTCACCGTGACAATCGAGTAGAAGTGAAATAAACTCGCACTAAGCCCTCTGTATTAGTAATAAAGAGCACTACTCTCATCTTCTATTCAAGCCACACACACACACACTTTAACATGTTATTGGGTCATGTACTATTATATTACTCATAATAAACCCAAGATTTGACAAGCCTGTGGGTCTAGTGGTTAGTGACCATCACTGCTAAGCTGGAGGCAGTGAGTTTAATTCCCAACCAGGACAAATTATTGTGTGATAAGCAAAATCATTTATTCTGTGTCTGGGTGTAATTAATCTGTATTATGTATGTATTTAGAAATATATAAGTATGTTTATCGGCAGTCTGGTTACCATAGCACAAGCTCGGCCTAGTTAAAGATTGGGCTAACATATGTGGGATGTGTAAAGTTTTTTTTTTTTTTTTTGTTGATTAGCTACTTTAAACACTGGGCGTACTGTAATTTATTATACATTATATGCATATTTTAAAATGGTAATGGAGTTCAGTTTAAAATGGTATTCATATATTTTGCTTTTTTAGGTGAATATGGCTGATCCATACCGTGGGCGTGGGCGAGGCTTGGCTCTTCTCCAGGCTCTTAAGAAGAACAAGAATATGGACTCTGAATCATCATCATCTGATAGTCCTAGTCCAGAAGACACACCTAGTTCAAGTGCAGTCCCTAGTGTGGCTCCGAGTGTAGTTAGTATGGTTAGTAGTTATTTTATGTATCTTTTGAAAAGTTACTTTTGGTCCCATGAAGTTAAAATGTTTTGAAGTGATTGACAGGACTGCTCTTATTTCAATTTTATTACTTCCTGACTCTTTTACTTTGAATTGTTTTTCCATGACTAATTCACTAATAAATTCTTCACTAATAAGTTTCTGTATGTCTAGTATTACTTGGGATTGTAGTGTTGTGTAAATGTACACTACAAGTATTCCACGCCGTACACTTCATTAATTATTGATGTTACTAAAGTCCTAGTAAGTGAATAGCAATTAACTAGTTCATAAGTGATTGATGTACAATATTTGCTCTAATTCAAGTTCACAAAATTTGGAGTTATGTAAGGGTTGCGGGGGATATGTCACATGCCTTGTGATTTGATATTTCAAGATCAATAGATAGAATAGAATGCGCTGAACCATAGTGATGGGATAGGGTTGGGACGTTGATAGATAAATTTGGTTTGATGATCTGAATTATTGATAGTTATTTTATCTTTGTTTTATTGCTTCTTGATAAATAATTATGTTTATTTGATATTTATAAAAAAAAACAGTGTACATATATATTTGTACATTTAATTTTTAAATATATATTTCACTGAGTTTTAAAATGGATAAGCTTTGTATAAATATGTCTTACAATATCAGCCTACCACGGCTTATCATAATATGAAGATTGTGAAGTGTCTTGAGCATATTCTACTATTTTTGGTGGGAAACCAATCGTCCCCTCGACAAGTTGCGTCGATCCACTTCGGGGTATTTAGGAAACTCATAACCTATACCTCAATGATACGCCACTATTTTTTCAAAATAATGACTTCAATGAAGAAATTCAAACGATGACCAAACAAATATCGACCTATAAATCACAACACTATCGATACACGTGCTGTTAATAGACAAAAACAACTATTATAATTTACGTAATGAGTGAAAGAGACATTTCAAAAAGACATTATCAACAGCCTTTAATAGTCCAGTGACGGACATAAGCCTCTCCTTAGAAAGGAGGTTTTGGCCTACTATACCACGGTGGCCAGACGGGTTGGTATACGGTTTGTGTCAAGTTTTCCTTCTCTCGGTAGTGTTGTTGTTCTGCGTTTCAGTTTCTCCCTTAGTTGGCTCTTACGACACCCACGGGATGAATAAGGGTGGTGACACTCTGTATTGTTAATCCGTCACTACACGGACCGAAAAAGACATTAACTGGCGCTAAATTGTTATTACTTTGTACCATTATGTTACCAGTATAATTTGAACGCCGGTGCATTTGCAATAGGTGAACGTGATAAGCATAGAATTTACTTATGGACCAAGGCTTATATAACAATTTGGTCCAAGGGGACCCAATTGTTGGGTCCCCTTGGACCAATTGTTGGTCTCCATGGTTGGTGGTAGTCACTTACCATCAGGTTATCCGTCTGCTAGTTAATCCTCTGTAACAAGAAATTGTTGTTAGGTAAAACTTAAATTCCTCCTACTATTTTAGTACCTATGTAAAAAAAAAACTTAAAAAAGGGGAATAAAATTAAACTACTAAACTCTGAAATCTTTGACAGCACGGATGGTAGTGGTTTAAGTGGCTTCTTACTACACTGAATGTGTACAACACTGAGTGACCCACAAATTGTTTTTCTGATTCTGGGTGTTCTTTGTGTTTGTTTCATGTTTGTTTATAACTTCTTCCGCAACAGCAGATATACTCGTACTTCGAGGAGTTCTCTTAAAAAAATAATAAAATCGTTTGGCATGGTTCATATCTAAACTTCTTGCGGATTTGCTGATCAAAAAACTTCTTCCATGAATATCTATCAATAGATGAGTCAAAGGTAAAATATTTTTGACGTCACCCAGCAAAACAGTAAGATTTGGATACAAAAACTGGATGATTGCAAGTGCGGATGGTTATTGTTATGCTTTTGATGTTTATTGCGGCAAATCAGCAGTGGGAACCAGTAATGAGCCTTTGGGATCCAGAGTTGTAAAGAGTTTATTGGAAAAATTGAATATCGTTTCGCATGAGCATATTGTGTTCTTCGACAACTTTTTTACCAGCCATACATTGTTGCGCGACCTTTGTAAAGGTGGTTCTCGTGCGACTGGCACTGAGTGAAAATAGGACGAAGCTATGCCCACTACTATCTGTCAAGGAAATGGAAAAGAAAAACCGAGCAGAATTTGACTACAGATTTGATCCAGTAAATCAAATTTTGTTCGTGCGATGGATTGACAACAGTGTTTGTACTATGGGTACAAACTACGACTTTGTTTATCCTTTGGGCAAAGTAAAAAGATGGAGCTCTGCAGAAGGAAGAAAAGTAGACGTGGACATCCCGTTTGTCTTTCAGAACTACAACAAAGGAGAGTAGGCGGAGTAGATCAAGCTGACCAGTCCATCGCCGTATACAGATCAGCTATAAAAGGCAAAAAGTGGTGGTGGGTCCTATTTAATTATATTCTGGATTTGAGTGGAGCTAATGCTTGGCGTCTCCATCTCTTCCGTCGGCGAAGCATCGCCCGATTTTATTTGGGAGGTGTAGGCACTGAAAGACCTGATGGGAGACGTCGCAAACCATCTTCAGTGGTGCCAAGTGGCTCATCTTGGCTTTCCCAAGATGGTGTTGGACAGTTCCCTCAAAAGCTTTCAAGTCAACTGCGATGCCTTGTATGCCACATGAAAGCTCGATGGCAATGTAATAAATGTGTAAAAACATTATGCCTAGAAAAGGGATGTTTTGAAAAATACCATACTTAAGCCCATTGGCCCCATTTGAGGACCTGTGTTTTTCTCATACATAGAAATATATATCATTAATTTTTTGTAATTAAATGTCTCAGTAGCTTGTATTAGTTTCACGAATAAACATAATTTCAAAATTTTGCTTCTAGTTTGTATATGGGTCTAAATGAGTTAATGTTACTTTTAATCAAAGCTAATGAAATGAGTTCGTTACTTGATACAGATCTATCTCACTTTGTCTGTCATTCAAGTACTGGTGCCCGTTAAATGATATGAATGTGTCTTAATTGTATTTTATTTTTCTAGGCAAGCACTGCAACCACTGTAGGAGGCAGGGGGCGAATGGCGGCTTTATTACTGGCGAAGGCACATGCAAAGCCTGGAGGTTAGTTTGTTTTTAATTAGGTAATTTCAATCATATACGACTACTTATGTCAAACAATTGCATGCGTTTTTAATTTGGAGATTAGAGATTGCCTGTCGATCGAATTTGGACCATAAGTGATTGATGTTTTGGTTTCTATCAATGACCAGTGTAAATTGTTCTATCATTGGCGTTTCTTCCTAGAGTGAGTCTTAGGAAATGCCGGCTCCATCTAGCTGTAAAATCCGACTTGTAAATATCTGAAAAGATTTACTTACAGAAATAAATATCATTTCATTTCAGTATTGTTGTAATAGTAAGCCAGCATTTTAAGGGCATTATAGCTTTTTGTAGCCGTTTTCACATATTTCTTTAAAATTTTAGCCCCCTTCACTTCTACATATAAAATTCAAGTATTCCTAATGTGAAATATCTCCAAGTGTATTTTATTGTCCAAAAATCTTTTGAGTTCCGAAAGTCGTTAATGAAATTTGTTTGTATTCCGATTTCTATACGTTCAAAGAACGAAATGCTCGATGGGTTCTCGGTCCGAATTACGACATTCCGATTTTCAATACTTCGAATAAACTGCTAAAATTAAGATTCTGATTCAGTTAGAATAATATTCAGTTACACATATTTATTCAAAATCTATAAGTAACGTTTAATGTGATTTAAAAACATCTACTTTGTTATTAGAATTTGTGTATTATTATTTTTTTTGTATTTTCTTCTTTTCCTTATATATATATTTTCTTATACCTGCGGCGGGTACCAGCTATTGTAGGTACAGTTCTCTTTTTTCTGTTTCCGGCGGCCTCCTCCATCTTTTAAACAATCCATACTTATGTAATAAACTAGCTGGTTCCCGCGACTTCGCAAAATTTTGTAGGGTTTTCCTGAAAGGAAAAATTGCCTAAGTTACTCCTTAGTAGTTAGTCCTTAGTTCCTCCTTATTAGTTATATAGACAGCTACCTGGTAGTAAAATATTGTCAAAATCGGTCCAGCCGTTTAGAAGATTACCCGCAGTCGGAGCCGCGGTCAAAAGCTAGTACGTTAATATTAGCGCCAACATTGTATATTTCGGGGATACAGGCGGAAGTGTGTTTATGTATGAATGAAAGAATATGCAATTTCTGCAATGAACAAGTGATGCTAAAATAATACATTACTTCTCTCGCATGCTTACTCAGGCCAACTCAATTAGGGTCGAGATTTACCTCTTTGCCTGTTCTGTTTCCTCGGTAAGATGTAAACGCAGAGACTTGCTCAATTGCTTTTGAAGACTGCGGGGAACTACTGGTTGTGTATAAATGTTTAGTCATAATTTTCTAGAGTCTAATAGATGTGTGCATAGACAATGTATGCTTAAATCGTATTAAAACATTTTGCAGTTGTTCCTATAAGTCCTGCGTCAGACGTGAGCCCAAGTCTAAAGGGTGCCGGCAGAGGACTTAAGCTTTTGCAGAATCTGTAAGTGTCCATTTAATAACTTTTAAAACTGGAGTTGGGCTTAGTCCTAATAATTTAAGAGTTAACTCTTGTAGTGTAAAATGGTTGCTTTGCTTATTTTTTAACTGCTGACGACCACATTTGTACTAAACTTCGATGAAGTGCGAAGTTTTACTTCCTTATCATTCACTGTGTGTGCGTCTTAGTATGATGTAACTTATTAGTATTAGAGTTTTACTAAAAGTAGCTTTAATGGACTTATTTCTAGTTCTACCAATGTAAAATAAAGGATTAACTTTTTTATATTCGATTTTATTGCCGAAATTAACAGAGACAACATGCTACTTACCTCTACTAAGATCTAATTAAACTTTTAATATACATTTCATTACTATCTAAAATACTTTCATTTTATTTTATATCTGTTTAAAAACTAAGTACTTGAAGTCACATGTTAAAGATATGACGCCAAATACTCAGTTGACGGTGCTTACGGTATCTTTTTTTATTGAATAACTCATAACTGTTACAATAACATATTAACTGTACCCTGCTACGCTACGCAGTGGCACATAGTGATTGCATTGATGAGACAAACTTGACGCGAAAAACAGATAAAAACAATCTTTGAAGTAGGTTGTATATCATGTCAAAGTTGAACTCAATCAGTGCCAACCAATTTCACATTGTAAAATATATAGATTTATTAATAAAATTAGTTTATTATTTGCGTAAAAAAAATATAATTTTGTTTTTCTAGGCATGCTTCAAAAGCAGCTGGCGATGTTGGAAAACCAGACATGCAGCAGGTTACTACCCAGATAGCCGAATGTACAATATCTGAATCTACTCCGAAGCCTACCCAGGCATCAACTAAAGTGAAGAAATACTTTGTAAGTTTTTGTTAAATAACTTACTTTTTGGTAAATTACTGTATTGTAGTTTTTTAACCAAGGGTTTTAATAAAATAAAAAACTTAGTGTCACTTTATAGGATGTCTGAACTTTTTAACATTAAAAATGCTGAAACGCAGTGGATTAGTTGTAATGAATATATTAAAGTCCATGCAACAAAGAAGACGTCGTTAATTTCTAAGTTCGTTACATAAAAATCTTTTTTTGTGACAACAAATTAACTTGGTTATTTGAGATTTTATTATTTGAGGTTATTTTTTATTGTCAAGTTGAATGTTTTAACCGATAATTATTTTCTTTACAATCAAATGGGTATAGCTCTCTACAAAAAATAATCAGGTACCTAGTAGTTCATGATGAATTGCACTGCCTGTTTAATAGTAAAATATTTAAGTATGTTTTTTCTTCTTACAGAGAGAGGTTAAAGACACACCGCCTGTCGTGAGAATGGGTGAAAGTGGGAAAAAATTAGATGTAACTGCCAATTTTATATTCCTTAATTTTGAAGAAAACAATGTATATGAATATGAAGTAAGATATGACCCAGATCAAGATTATAAACATTTACGATTTAAACTGCTTGGAGGTACGTTTGAGACTATATATAGGTAGTTCTAAATTTAATAAAATGTATTATTACTTATTTCAAATTTTTTTAACTATACAACTTAGAAGTTTTTTGTGCGTTCTTTGTGAGTTCCTGACGTTTTAAGAGTGAACAGAAAATGAAGATTGACTATCAACCAACTAAAAGAACATTATGGTCAAATTACGTGTAAGATGGGACTGTAATTTAGTTTCAAAGATGGGACTTTAAAATAAATATTGTATCTTTTCAGAACACAGTAAATACTTCAAAGAGAAGACATTTGATGGAACTACGTTATATGTGCCACGTAAATTGCCAGATGAAGCTTTGAATTTGGTTTCGACGAATCCTTTTGATAACAGTAAAGTCAGAATTAATGTGAGTTACATATTCATATTAAAGTTTGGCTAGATTTAAGTCTCAACCTTTTTTGTGTGTCTCTAAAATAAAAACAGTTCATTGGTTTAACAAAATACATTTAAGTTAAATTTTAAGCAAACAAAAAAGTTTTTAAGTCAATCTATAAATGTTATATTAAAATGTAAAGTTGCTTTGTGTACGCTACAAAAACTCAAAAAGTTCGTCACCGATTAAGCTCAAATTTTGACACGCTACGCTTCAAAGATGGTTTTCATTTATTTTTTGAGTCAAATTTGTTCTCATCAACGCAACCACAATGTGTCACGGAGTGAAGCGTGACAGGGTAACATGTTTATAAATACATATTATCTATACCAATAAATAAAATTGAAGTGACTGTTTGTAATGTCAAAATATGTAATAGGTTTTTGCATGCTTACACGGTTATTTGCACGATACCTATGCCTGAAAATCAGTTTGAATATTTTTTGTCTGTCTGTCTGTTAGTTCGGGTAATCTTCAAAACGGCCTGACCGATTTTGATAATATTTTACTACCAAGTAGCTGTCTATATAAGGAGTAACTTCAAATTCTGAACGAAGTCGCGGGCACCAGCTAGTGATTTATAAAAACAATGAACATTCGTTTAATTTACAAACAGTTATCAATAATACACTTCTATAGTTTATTCTTATGGTCCCATGGTCTTTTTACAGATTGTATTCCGTAGAACCCGGCGCCTGAGTGAAATGATACATATTTACAATGTGATATTCAAGTGTATTATGAAGGATTTAAATCTAGTCAGATTTGGTCGCGATCATTTTAATGAGCATGCTGCAGTACAAATACCACAACATAAGCTAGAAGTTTGGCCTGGGTTTGTTCTATTATTTTTATTTCTTCGATACTGTATTGTTGATTATTCTTGAATATGGCTTATAAGGCTTATAACAAAAAAAGTGAAACGTTAAAGTAAATGTAAACATGTCCTACTATAATTTTAAAATGCATATTAGCGTTAATTTTACAAGTGTCATAGGTATAATGCCTTGTGGTTTGCCGAAGAATAAAACGTTTCTCTGGGGTCTCTCTTATCGCTGTATTAAATATAATGAATTCGGTCCAGCTACGTGACGGCGGTGGACGAGTACGAGGGCGGGCTGATGTTGACGCTGGACTCCACACACCGCGTGCTGCGCACTCAGTCGGTGCTGTCGTTCATCAAGGAGACCGTCGCGGCCGAGGGCGCCAACTGGAAGCGCGCCATCGCAGAGAGATTGGTCGGCTGTTCCGTTATGACCACTTACAATAAGAAACTTTTTAGGTAAGGCGCTGAAGTATATCATTGCATGTCTGACGATTTTAGTTACTATACTATTTTGTAAAACGGTGTACAAATAAAGAGTTTTCGAACGAAGTACCTTATCGCGCGTCACACGCTCAAAGTGAATGGGAGCGAGACCGAAAAACGTCTAAGAGACTTTTTTCCGACACTTCACTTGGCAGGAAAGGAACTTCGTTCCGACCGGTGGTCCATAGACTACATAGTTTTTTTATCTATCTATATCAATATAAATATCAACATGAACACGTAACGGGCATCTTGCAATTTAGGATTCCTTCGGCGTTTGGATAACCTCTTAGTGGAAATTGGCGACGGTAGAACTGAGGTTGATGGTGATATACATTTTAATGCCAAATTCCATCCATACGATATTATCTAATAAACCATATCAATATCCAAAAGTTCATTACACATATATATGAAATATTTCTTGTATGTTGGTTGGTTCAAAGGCATTAAATCTCTTTTAAGAACAGACTAAAATTGCAAACATTTTAAGGTTGTAAAATAATAAAATTGTTATTTTTCACAGAGTAGACAGTGTTGATGATTCAATGACACCGAAGTCGACGTTTGAAAAACTTGAGAATGGCAAACCCGTCAAAATTAGTTTTATAGATTATTACAAAAAGAATTACGGTATCGAAATTCGTGACTGGGATCAGCCTCTTCTTATATCAAGGTATTATTATTATTCAAATTATCAAATATACCGGCTAAAAAAAACGTATATAGTGCTTAATACATTGACTCAATTCTATATAGCGGAGCGATAACGCTAATCAGAGCTCACACCAGGAGTGCATTTGTAGTCATAACCTCATTCTTTTCTTTAAAGACGACTCCCGCATTAGGAATATATCCTGTCTCGCGGGGGACTTTACAAACATACATGAAACGGCCACAAAGAACACCAAGAGTCAGAACAACAATTTGTGGATCACACAAAGTGTCGTCCCATGTGGGGTTTGAACCCACAACACTCGTAGGAAGCGGCGTGGCGACCGCTTAAACCACTACGCCATCAGTGCAGTCAATTATATCATTATTATTTATTAGCTTGGCCTACCTAAGCATCTATTGCCTCTATATCAGATGTACACTTTCAGGATTTATTTATATTACCAAAAAAAATGTATTAGAATTATCGGACAAATTGGAAATCGTGATAGTTGTAGGCCCTTCTTCATTAAATATAACATCCTCACACTACCATCATTATACATATTTGACATCTGCATATTTGTATCCAAGAACATGAGTCACTTCGCGAGTGTAAAAGACAATCACAATTTAAACACACGCCACAGAGACAGACTATACCTACCACCATCAAATTAAAATGCTAAACCTACCTACCTACCTACATGGCTGTAAAAATATACAACAAATTACCTATCCACATAAAAAATGAAACTAAGACTACACTATTCATTAAAAAACTAAAAGCATTCTTAATTACAAAATGTTTCTATTCTGTTAAAGAATACATTGAGGAAAAAACAATTAACAAACTACATTTCTTATTACACGGAAAACAGAATGGATACTTAAGTACAAATCATAAAAAGAAAAATCGGTCATGATGCACGGTAATGCGAGGGACAGTAGGTAAATGTGTATATGTATTAGTGATGTAGAATGTCGGGTGCCTTCGTATTTTTGCATGGTTTGTTCGATTGTTATACTGTACTATTGAGTCACTTAATTTGTATTGTTCAAAAAATGCTTGTACTTGTGTAACAATTTATTCTTCTGCGTTCTCTCTCAAATTTTGCAATGCCTGGAAAAGGCTTCTAAGTTGGGACTACTACATATAATATTATGAGATAATTGATGTACACTTGGTTGGCAAATAAAGATTTGATTTGATTAGATTTAATAAATTTTGTTATAAACATACATTTCTAAATGATTAATATCACAAACTTAACTCTTTACCATTGTTTGTGAGGATATTAAAATTGATCCATTTTATAAGTTTCATAATTGTTTTATTGTTTATTACAGAGATACAAAACATATGCCAGGATCTGAAAAGCCCACAGATTTTATGATATGCTTGATTCCCGAACTTTGTCAATTAACTGGTCTCACCGACGATCAGCGTTCTAACTTTAGGCTTATGAAAGACGTTGCTACTTACACAAGAATAACGCCTAACCAACGTTATTCATCGTTTAAAAAGGTAAAGGTTTTTAAGTATTTATTAACGTTAGTACATTGAATTGTCATACAATCACTGAAGGTATCTTTTTGTACCTGTTTACATTTGGATGAGACTATAATCCTTACAGCCTAGTATTTATAGAAAGCCTTCTATAGTTAAATGCTAACCCCTAATCGATAGACGACTCATACTTGTTTACTATTTTACATTTTAGAGACTAGTCGTGCTATTACGTTTATTTTGTAAATTTAATACTTACCTTAATGTGCGCTAACATTTATTTTTGGCGAGTTAAAGCCGAATATTGTGCACTCCTGCCTGTCATTTTAATTAGACTTTACACAAAATGTTTATTACACACTAGCTGACCCGCGCAACTTCGTCTGCGTCTCTCAATAGTAATAAATTTTCTCCGTTTTTGAAACATTCTTCATTGGTGCTCCGCTCCTATTGGTCTTAGCGTGATGATATATAGCCTATAGCCTTCCTCGATAAATGGGCTATCTAACACTGAAAGAATTTTTCAAATCGGACTAGTAGTTCCTGAGATTAGCGCGTTCAAACAAACAAACAAACAAACAAACAAACTCTTCAGCTTTATAATATTAGTATAGATATCGACTCTAAAAAAAATGCTATCTATTACAGGCGACAACAGCTTTTTGAAATTTAGAGCTTAACTTAGGTGAGATGTTTTCTTTGAGTGATTTACCAAATTAATAATAGTTACATGATATATTTCCAGTACATTCAAAGTGTGCTTAGCAACGAAACAGCTAAAAGTCGCCTCGCGGGCTGGGGACTGAGTATCGCCCCGGAGACTGTCAACTTGACGGCGCGAACTATAATGCCGGAGACTCTGTACTTCGGGAACAACTGCAAAGTCCCAGGCAAGCCTAATGCGGAGTGGAACGCTGAAGTATCAAGAAATGCAGTTATGCAGGCTGTTGATATTGTCAAATGGGTTCTTTTGCATACTGATAAAGATAGACAAGTAGCTAAGGTGAGCCTTTAGAGAATTTAATAATTTCGGTTTCTTAAGAGTTTTCAATATATTTAAACAGTATATTAAATACTACTACCAATAATACTACTTATACTTTGAAAATTTAAACATAGGAACGTTGCGTGTGAATGTGTAGAACCAACTTAGTCAATTTCACTATATTTTGTTTTAAAATATTAGGTCTTTGTCTATGAAGTAGAGATTTGTATGGAAATTTTAAAATATAAAAATGTTGGTAATTTTTAGGGTTCCGTACAAGGAAAAAACGCAACCTTTATAGGATTATTTCGTTAACCGTCTGTCTGTCAAGACCCTTTATCTCGGGAACGCGTGGAAGTATCGAGTTGAAATAAAAATATCAGGTCTACAGACCCTTGAAGTTGTGAAAAAATTAAACTTCCAAGTTAAGGTAAAAAGAAATATACGGCCGTTAGTACCGCAAAAAACACAAACGAATCAAACTTCATAGGGTACTTCCCGTTGACCTAAAACTATAAAATTTAGACAGTAACATGGTCTACATATACTACTACTACAGGTAAAAATTTGAAAAATATACATTTTTAATTAAATCATAAAAATATAGTCTGTATTAAATGTACATAATCAATCATCGAGGTACAATTTCACTTATAAAAAACAATAATATAAGTAATTATAGGTTTTAGAAAATGCATTTTGGGAAAAGCAAGGAAAAAAAATTGCGAGACATGATGTCTCAACGATTTAAAATATGTACCTGCAAGTTTGTACGCAACCCTCGGTGGGCGAGTCCGACTCGCACTTGCCCTAATTTCTTATATTAACTGAGCAAAGTACTGGTCCAAATTATACAATTTTTCTATTTTGATAGCAGCTTGTTTATTGGACGGGAGGCGATGAAATCAGCGAAAGCGTTTCGTGCTGCCTTTCGGGTGTTGAATTGTTTTCCACTTTAAATATTGTCTAAATTAAAAAAAAAAAGTTTTAATCTGGCGCAAGGTCCGGTGAGAACAAAGCTATAAGAACCAATGGGGAAGAGCGATTGACCAGTTGTGGTTGTTGAGTTGCATGCTTCTTCATTATTTTTTGCAATTTTTCGCAATAGACATCTGCCGTAACTGTTGCCATTTGGTAAGAGGCTGTAATGTACAAAACTGGTCTACCATCATCTTCCTCTGGGTAATCTTTTTTTTTAGCGCACTGATTAGGTGCTGTACCCGGGTCCAATCACTGAGAAGTTACGTTTAACTTTACGTTTGTCGTACAGGATCCATTTTTCATCGCAGGTAACAATTCGATTCAGAATATGCTTGTTTCTATACCGATTCAGTAGTGGTATGCATGCTTCGACGCCTAAGTCTCGCTGATGGTCGCTTAGTTCGTGTGGCACCCACTTATCTAGGTTATTTATCTTTCCGATTTGACTCCTGTGCTTCAATGTTGTTTTGACACTAACTCCAAAGCCCGCAGCAAGCTCAGCCGTAGATTAAGTAGATTGTACCAGTAATGGACCATTTTTTTGCAAGCAGTGTACTCGTCGACCGTCGTTAATGTTTCGTGTTGTTTGCAGAGCGGTATTGCCACGTATAGTTAAACCGCCGTAAGCTTGGCCCTACTGATGGTTTGGGGGACGCGGGGCGGGGATGCATTCAACCAATTAGCTAGTGCGTCGCTGTCCGCCGGCAGTGACTGACGTGAAAGCATGGCTGTGCGTGTTATTTTTCTTAAGACTGCTACACACGGTATTATTTTGCAACATGGATAATCTGCCGACTCTGCGTCACAAAAAGATTTAAAAACTTGAAGTTCGGCTTACAGAGGTTCTACTGTTAAAGTTCTAATTAAGAATATTTATTATTTTACTTAATTTTTAAATTGTATCTGAATATAATTTACATGATGAAGATAAGGTGATTTTATTAAAATTATTTTACAGTATTAAATTTTACAATTAATCATAAAAACTTACAATACACTAACATTATAATACATGGAAATAAATTCGATTTTTATTACATCGTGTGTAGATTAAATCTCAAACAAATAAATCTGAAGATATCGAGTTAGTACATCGTGTCATGTATAGCCGCGCGCATCACCCGCCCCGCGTCCCGCAAACCATCAGGAGGGCCAAGCTTACGGCGGTTTAACTATAGGAACTCATATTGGAAAATTGTACAATTTTTTATTTTCTACCACACAAAATTGCCACAATTTCATTAAATAATAAAACACTATCTTAAATAAGTGACTGAATTTTAAATTAAAATAATATGGCTTTTTTATTTAAATTAATTTATTTCAATTTTGAATTGCGCGTCAATCCACAGGTAATTACATCTGTAATGCTGGTTTTAAAAATCTCAACCTTCAAAGTTCTATAAAGTTACCTTCAAGGGTTATGATCACCAAGGAAGTTATTTACGTTACAGGCATAGTTTATGTTTACAATATATGAAATTAACAATGACCTAACAATAAGAGTTGTAAAGAAACACTATCAAACAATAATTTAAATTTTTATTTTGTTCTTTTAGAAAAATCTGCAGTAACTTAGTGTTTATGACTGACTAGTTATTGCATTTAAGATTATCCTAAATCTTACAGCCAGAAATCAGGGTAATAGGATCATAACAAGTTATAGGATCAAAATAGGTCAGATCTTCATTTGCCAAAATTAAATTGTATATATATATATATATATGTATCCGTATATGTATATGTGTGTGTGTGTGTATGTATATTATTATATAACTGTGTATATTTGTCTATTCGAAGGACAAAATAGTTGGTACTTAATAAAAATCCTATCATTTATTACCTCCCCATAAGTACACCTACCTCATTCTGCATCATCCAATCGGTCGACTGACAGAGAATGCCTTAGGCATTAAGTCCGCCGATGTATGTATTTGTGCATGAAGTCATAAATAAATAAATTATATATTTTTTACAGGATTTCCAAGAAACGTTAAGGCGTTGCTGTAACCCCATGGGCATAAGCGTATCTCAACCAGACGTCGTTCGTTTACCAAACGATCGTACGGACACGTACGTGATGACTCTCAAAAAGCTAATTACATCTGGCATACAACTTGTGGTCGCTATTTGTCCAACGGCTAGAGACGATCGTTATGGTGCCATAAAGAAGATTTGTTGTGCAGATAATCCAGTCCCGTCACAGGTTTGTATTGACATGAGTCTAACCAATTATGAAAATTACGAAGAAAAATTACGAATTAAATTCATTTGATTGCCTATTCCTTTTTTTAATGATAAATTATGTGCTGATATTGATTTGTAAAATAATAGTTAACTAATAAAAAAATCCTGCTCCTTTCTAAGGAGAGGCTTATGTCCAGCACTGGACTGTTAAAGGCTGTTGATGTGAATAAAAATTCAATAAGATAATAGAACTACAATATTTATATATTACAGGTGATAAACGCTCGTACATTAATGAATCAGAACAAAGTGCGGGCCATAACACAAAAGATTCTGTTACAAATAAACTGCAAGCTTGGAGGAACATTGTGGAACATTAATATTCCATATAAAACAGCTATGGTCATTGGTATTGATGCACATCATGATGCTTCAAGGAAAAAGAAAAGTGTTTGCGGTATGTACAAAACTATATTTACCTGTGATTAAATATGTGGGTGCTGGTTGTTAAAGTAAATCTAGGTAGTTTTTCTTTAACTTTTGTCATCTTAAAAAAAAAAATTATTTATGCATTGGTTTCCTACCTGAGGCTTTCATCTGTTGTTTTAATTGTAGTCTGTTTAATGAATTTTATAGGGCCATTAGGAAATGGTTAATTAGATTTACATACCTGATTGTACAGTAACATTGTAATCTTCACTATTTTGAAGTATATTTAGTTAACGGAATACAAATCATTTTATGACATCCTCGATACATCTGGAAGTCAATAAAGAGTAATGTATAATTGTATTTTTTATAGGTTTTGTGGCATCATATAACCAATCAATGACACATTGGTACTCACGGGCGGTATTTCAAGAACGAGGACAAGAGATAGCAGACAGTCTAAAGGCTTGTCTAGTAGACGCTCTCAAGCACTACATCAAGACCAACGGCAAACTACCAGATAGAATTATCATATACAGGTATGTATGGTTTGGTAGATGATAAGATTGATTGAGTTGAATTTACTGTTGACTATTTCTTTATGTGTGATTATCCAAATGATAATAGAGCGAAAGACGACATAATATAGCTTCCATAACTTATTATCCAGGGTATGCTTAATATCTCTTTTGTATAGTTAAAAGCCAGCAGAGATTTTAACTAAAATTTGCAACAAAGACAGTGCATATGTTGGTAATCTTTTGATTAAGGTTTGTAAGATATAAAGCCTTAAAGTGCTGATTTAGCATATATAACAAATTTAAAAGGTAACTATCACAGTAAGCTTTATTACTTTACGAGTAATAGTCGACCAACTAATTCGACGTTCTAGGCCGTCGAAACCGTTAATGTCAAATCTTAATAATATGTAATAACAATTTAGTCTTATTTATATTTTAGTTACGTATTAGTTCGCATTATTGTGATAGGTAACTACCGCACCATTTGAAAGGTTTTTTAGTAAAAGTTTTCTTGATTTTTTTTAGGGATGGCGTTGGTGACGGTCAATTGAAATTGCTCAGGGATTACGAAATTCCACAACTAAAAATAAGTTTTAAAGTACTCGGCAACCAGTACCAGCCGTCACTTACGTACATAGTGGTGCAGAAACGAATAAATACAAGGATATTTATGAAATCTTCTGGTGGATTAGAAAACCCACCCCCTGGTACTGTTGTTGATCACACGATTACCAGACGCGATTGGTAAGTAAAATTTTATTCTCTATAATATTGAACTTCACATAACTGTAACCTTTTTAACACAAACTTATTCACCTTATGTAATTTTGTTAAATTATGGAATGCCTTATGTACTGCTCTTAAAAGTGGTTTAATAAAACATTGTTTTTCATAACAACTGTGGGCGATAACTATTAGAGTGTTGTATATTATCTCTAATCTCGTTTGAGTGTGATTATATCTGTATTCTGTATCTAAATTAATTTAAAAGGCCTCATTAATTACATATGTAAATATAATGTAAATATAATTACATATGTGTTTTGTTACTCGATGAGATATGAATAAATATGAAAAAAATATGAATATGTATATATACACCCATTTTTTGCGAACTATAATTTGGTTTCACTTGCATCATAAGAGATCAATTCTATTGATGACAAACGAGCACTTGTTAACTAAAGCTTATCCAGATAGTTTAGGGAGTGTATAATAAATCGTGAAGGTTGTGTAACTCAAACTAAAATGCCAATCGGCAGTGTGGTGACTATAGTACGATTTCTACATAGAAGTATGTATATATACCGGAATTAACACAATCACTATACCTTTGAATTTTACCTAGTTTCAGACCAGTCAGCCATGTCTGAGATGTTTTATTATTATTGTTTTGAAATGACTTCATTTAATGGTCATAGTTTAATAAAGAAAATCTCATTACTAAACAAATATTCGATTCATTTGATGTTAAGTAGTTACTGTAGTAACTCTTTTATATTTTTCACAGGTACGACTTCCTAATAGTATCACAAAAAGTAAACCAAGGCACGGTAACGCCTACACACTACGTAGTTGTCCACGACGACAGTGATATGACACCGGATCAGTGCCAGAGATTCACTTACAAACTGTGCCATTTGTATTACAACTGGCCCGGTACCGTCAGGGTGCCAGCACCTTGCCAATATGCTCATAAGTTGGCATATCTTGTAGGACAAAACTTACATCAACAACCTTCGGAAGCACTGGCTGACAAACTTTTCTTCTTGTAGAATGTACATTATATTTAACTTAGTACCTATGTTGCAAAATTGTACTACTCATAAGAATTAACTGTGTATTTTCAAGAATTATCCCAAATTTAAACTGTTTGTCCTTTTGCTCTATAACTGACAATTAAATGCAACAAAAGTTTGATGCCATTTTTTGTCATTCATTCTCTCTTATAAATATAGTGAATATAATATAATCTCTTTTTTCTACTGAATAACGATTTCAAATGAGGAACTGTTATTGCTAACTGCTTTGGAATTCATGTTTTGTATCCCAACCATTTGATTTTATCAACACCCTTAAATCTTTGTTGCACACTAGGTATACAAAACAAATGATTGAAATCTCTTAGAGACACAGTTAATACGTTGGGTGGTACATTTATTTTCTTAAAATTCGTTATTGTAGAATTTCTATACAAAGTGAAAATATTAGTTATTATACAATTATATTTACAGTTATGTATGATAATAGTGTGGTTGATTTCAAATGAAAGAGTGGAAAGCTTCTTTTGCTATTAAACAGTGTTTTCATTGGTCTGTCTGTGTTGATTGGCACATTGCCGTTAAGATCTGGTTTTTCTAACGAAATGTCATTGTCAGTAAATGTAAGTTCTGAATGTTATTTTCAAAAGTATATGAATAACTTATATTTAAGTTAAAGTTTGCCGGCATGATGTGATAGTTGATTGAAAAATTAAAGTGAGATTGAACCACAGGGATATTATAATATAGGAGTACCTCTGTAATATTAAGTCAAACATATATTATGTTGGTCTCAAAGCCTGTCTGCACCGCTCTAAAGAATTCCATGACATTTGATGAGCTAGCATTTGTTTAAAAGTTCAAGGTGTTATAGTATGGTAAAACCATACCTTAGAGTCGTAAAGTAGAACAAACTCCGTGACTAGCGGAAAACGTTGACAATTTTTAAGAAAATTTGTGATTCTTATACAGAAATCTTAACTTGAACAATAACGAAATTAATTAGAAAAATTGAGCTATGATTAAAATTGAATGATTATGGAATGTACGGACTTGATTGAAAATCAAATTGACATGAAAATTTAGGTGTACACGTACACTGCAAACCATTAGAAATAAAATAGCTTTTATTTTTCATAAAACAGTTAGCACTAATTTTTACTTTTTAATTTTTATATCTTTCCACCAAACGAATTGAACATCATACCTTTTTGTATTACCATGTTCTGTAATAGTGTAGATTGAGATGGGAGGTCATGGTCAGCCAAGGTTATTATTACTACAAAACTGACCGACCTTGACCTTATATATTTTAACCAGTACTGCTGCGGCCAGGCTTAGAATCTCAATGTGCTCGGATTTTAAGCACTTACATTTGACATTCACTAGTGTAGTGATGTGTATTGCTTTTGTTGTACCATAGGTGTACAGTACATAAGTAGATTTAAAGTATTATTTTTTTTACTTTTAAAAGTAATATTGATATTATTTCTTTTGTTACAATAAGAAGACTTTGTTTTGACTATTCATAATTAAATATTTTCTTACTATTAAAAAACTCAAAACTTTCTGGTTGAGCTCAAATTTTGACACAATATACAAATCGCTTTAAAGATGGTTTGCATCTATTTTTGCGTTAGTTCTGACCCTCATTTTTCTTCAACGCAACTACAATGTGCCACAGCTGAGCGTGGCAGGGTACAGCCAGTCAAAAATTAAAATCGATTTTGCGAATGTCATACAGAGTAACGTGATTGTAATTAATATGCCGACAAAGTTTTGTGATAAACCCACCTTGTTGAACCAAATAATATACTTTTAAGTATCGTTAATTCATTTTATTTAACATCATTGGTCAGTTTAAAACAAGTTTTTTTTTATCTATACAATATAGTTTTGACAATACCTCATCCTAAATACCTTATTTAATTGCCTTGTATTTTTGTATTGTATTTTTCGTGTTAAAGAAAAAATGCTGTTCCTATATTATGTTATTTAACGCGCATAGTATACTTAAATGTGTTCAATTAAGTAAATATAAAAAACATATTTGTTCTGACTTAAGCTTCATTGTCGATCTAAAGTTTCAATTAGAAATTTTGTTAGGGAACACTTTTTTTTATAAAGGCTGCCTCATGCTGTTTTTTGGTCCTCTAACAACGTCTATGTATGCAAAGATATTCACTTTTGTATAGATTGTTGTTTTTTTTTATTTCGGCTAAAATCCAGCATGGATCAAATAATACAGATTTAAAAGCAGCTTAAAATATAGTTAAGAATTACTAACATAGTATTTTATAGACACCAGCGTTTAAGATAAGTCATTTAAAAAAAAATGAACCAACTTTAAACAATACTGACAAAGAGCACTAAAATTTAAAATAATTACAAATAGCTGCTTGATAGGCTGGGTAAAATGTGGCGCGGCAGCGAGACCTGCGCTAAACATGCTGAACGAGCCAAAGTGGGTTACGCACATGACAAACGATATTATTATCTTGAATGGTTTATTAAGTAATTGATAAGTTTGTGTGATGAAAATAATTGCGTAACAAGCATTTTTTTATCTAAATGTTTTGTAATTTATAACTCTCTTGTGCACATATCTCTGTAACTCAACACAAACAACTAACGAATATTTTGAAAGAATAAAACAAAGGTAATACATGATTAGATTTTTAAAAGAGTTAATCCTCTAACTCAAAGTCCGGTCAAGGATCCTTCCATCAGCAGTTCAGCAACGTGACATAACGACTACTAAACGCAAATACCTATATAGCTAGAGAAAACAGCTGAAACACGTCGATGCTGTAAAATTTGAGGGTTTCTCTCAATTTCTCTAGGATGCCGTCATCAGATCCTCGGTAGTAAATACCCTTTCGATAGCAAAAATATTTTCTTAAAATCGGTCTACCATTGACGGAGATTTTGCGTAACAAACATTCAAAGAAAACATACACCTGAATTGATAACCTCTTTTGTGTTTTTGAAATCAGTTAAGAAAATATAACAGTTACTTTTAGATAGTAATATGGCTGGCAACACAATATATAGGTACATATATTTGTATATTGTAATTGTAGCTAAAACATTTCCCTAAAATTAAATTTTATTTACTATCACTTCAGCAATCAATCTAGAGTTTTTTGAATGGCTTAGGGCAGTTGGTAAATGACTATCGCCGCCCATGAACAACTGCAACTGAGTTAGAAGTGGAGGCTGGCCTTTAAGTGCCTCGCCAGAATTAGGGGTGCGGCGATTGGGTGGACCACCGGACACCCCACTCGGTGAAATACAATGAAAGAATTGCTCAACACCGATTTTCTCTGAGTCCGTGGTATCTTAAACCTTAAATATAAGTTTTAGAGTAACTTAATATATGAAGTGTGTAACTGTACTTGTTACAATATAACATACCAGTTGAAGTCGTGGAACTCGCAACGATGTAATTGAGTTCAGTGATTACTGACTTATCTAGTCTATTAGGTTACTTGTTACCTCAAATTTGAAATGCTTCATTCATAATATACCACCGTGGATGCGTTCATGTCACTTGTGCACAGTTTGACTTTATATAGGCGTAGATTCTTGAGTTTGATCTGGTGTCAAGTCTAATTAAAGGAAATGCCGGCACTTCTTGTCAAAGCTAGTAATTGGAAATACCGGCACCTGTCAGGAAGTGTCTGAAAAGATCATTTTGCAAAGTACATTTATTAATTATTAATATATTGGAGGATATATAAAATGTACAGGAAAAAATATTTCCTGTTGTTTTTAAAATATTCTGCATATTGTGCTGTATCGTAACCCTTATGTCGGCGATCCAGAGCTGCACTTCACTTAAAGGAGAATGCCCATTCATGGTTTTACTTTTAGACGTTCGCGTCATTACTTCAAATATTAACGTTGACTTTACTGTGACTTTTCGACCCTGAATCTATTTTACAGAACTTGGTGTTTGAAATTAAATCTTACAATCTTACATTTATTTTCTCAATAAACCCCAAGTTCTGTTACAATATACGTTTATATCTCAGGTAATACTCAAAGCAGTCAATACATATTTGACACAGCAAAAAAAAACATGGCATATCTCTAAATCTATGTTACTTATAACATAAATTTGCGTAACTATAACAATGGGACCATAATGCAATTTCATATTTGTTCTATATTGTTTCTCCCATAAACGGGATCGCATGATATTGTTAAAATTCATTAGTGCAGTTTTATAACAAAGGACATCATTCAAAATGTACCCAAAAATTAAAGTGCCGGCCAGTAAAAAAAAAAACTGTCATCTTACGGCAAATGATCTTTTAAACATTTTTTTATTATTACAACAAACGTCTACGCCCAACTTTTAGACCCAAAATGAATCTCCGAAAATCATAAAATGAGCATTTACATTTATGTATCAATTAACTATTTCTGAATAATTAAAAACCTAAACAACGCAAGACCATCGAAATGAGACCTGCGGAATTATAACATACTCGTATGAATAAAGCCACGTAGGTAACGAAATGAAGTCTTTTTCTTTACATATATTTTATAACACTATACCTACACATAAATACCTACGTAGGTACTTAGGTACCTAATGATGATTGTATATAATTAGGCTTTTTGTCATATTATATTATTATTAAGCGAGATTAAGTTATTCTTTATCATCATTATTTGATTTTTGCTATAATAATGAAGTAAAAATTGTTCAGACGAACTCGTATAAATGCATTTTTTTTTTATTATTTCTAAGTCATATAACTCATAAGTAATCGGTCTTAGCTCTTAGCCGTCTAAAGAAAAAAATCTTAGAATGTCATTCTCTAACCGATAAAACCATTTTTTTTCATTGGCCGGCACTTTTTTTTTTTGGTACTTTTTGTATGGAGCGTGAATGATGTCTTTTCATTATAAAAATGGTTTTTTTCAGTTCAGTTCAGTCCTTGAACTACATAAGAACAAGTTACCATAGGACACACAAAGGATTCTTTCACCTTTGATTGCAG